TGAATTTTACACGAGCAGACAAAAAGAGTAGAGAGAGAATAGCTGCGGGTCGATCAAAGAGCTGAGGGTTCTACTCTTTATATAGGTGTAGGGTTCTCACCAACTTACCATGCAAGCAACCAAAAGAGAGAGACGGGTGGGGTTTGGGGGTTCTCGGGCTCGAACGCACGATAATTAATTTAAAACCGGTAGAATAAATATATATGCACATATTACACATATTAATTAAATATAATACACATAATTTATTTAATTATAATATACCATTTAGACAATTAATATTAATAATAGTAATATTACTAATAACAACCAATAATAGCAAATTGGCATTTTAGGCATTTAATAAGAACAACAAAAACAACAACAACAACAACAACAACAACAACAACAACAACAACAATAATAATAATAATAATAATAATAATAATAATAATAATAATAATAATAATAATAATAATAAAGACAATACTAATTTAAATAATAATAAAAATAAAGATAATAAACAATAAACCCAATTATTCCATATTCAGACGGGGTATTACAGTCTATCCACCTTACAAAAAATTTCGTCCTCGGAATTTGAAAATAAACCTCTAGAAAGCAATAAAATACAAGGGGGAACTCAGAACATAAAGTTCGGATATCGCCTCCTAATATCGTCCTCCTTCTCCCAAGTCGTCTCGGACTCGTCGTGCCGGCTCCACTGCACCTTCACCAAACTCACTGCCCGGTTTCTCAGCCGACGAACCTTCCAGTCCAAGATGGCTGCCGGTACCTCATCGTAGATAAGGTCTCGCTCGACCTGCAGCTCGCCGAAGTCCACCACATGGTCAGGATCATGCATGTATCTCTGAAGCATCGAGACATGAAACACATCGTGCACTCCCGACAAGTCCGGTGGTAAAGCTAGCCGATACGCCAAGTCCCCAACTCGAGCAAGGATCTCGAATGGCCCGATATAGCGAGGTCTAAGTTTTCCCTTCTTCCCGAAGCGAATCACACCCCTCATGGGTGAAACCTTCAAGAAGACATGATCTCCAACTGCATCAACATGCTCTTGCCTCTTTCGGTCGGCATAGACGTTCTGCCTCTCCTGGACAGCTCTGATGGTCTTCCAGATCTCCTCGACTGTCGCCGCAGTACTACGGACAAACTCTGGACTCATAATCTTCCTCTCTCCAACTTCATCCCAATACAAAGGAGTTCGGACCTTTCGTCCGTACAGTGCTTCATACGGGGCCATCTTGATCGAAGAGTGGTAGCTATTATTGTAGGTCAACTCGAGTAACAGAAGGGCATACTCCCAAGTCAGGCTCCGGTCCAAGACCACATCCCTCAATATATCCTTCAAGTACTGGATCGTACGCTCCAACTGACCATCTGTCTCGGGGTGAAAGGTTGTACTGAACTCCAACCTCGTCCCCATAGCTCGGTGCAACATCTTCCAGAACTGGCCCATGAACTTTGAGTCCAAATCAGACACAATCTCCACGGGCACCAATCCTTGACGAACAATTCGGCGTAATCACTCGCCTTCATGGTCGTCCGAACTGACAAAAAGTGGGCAGACTTCGTGAGTTGGTCCACGATCACCCAAATAGAATCATGCCCAGACCTCAATCTAGGCAAACCCACCAGGAAGTCCATAGTGATGCACTCCCACTTCCTCATGGGAACCTCAAGGGGCTTCAACAACCCTCTCGGTTTCTGGTGCTCAGCCTTCACTTGCTGACACACCAAACACCCATCCACGAACCTCGCTACCTGCATCTTCATGCCTCGCCACCAGAAAGACTTCCTCAAGTCCTGATACATTATCGTGCTACCAGGATGGGCAGTGTACGGCGCACTATGGGCCTCTCTCAGAATCTCCCTTCGCAGTTCCCACACCTTCGGAACACAGAGTATACCCTCGAAGAGTAAGGCTCCATCGGCTGCGACTGTGAATCCTCCAATCTGACCACTAAATGCCAAATCCTTCATTCGGCACAGAAAACGGTCATTCGGCTGCTCGATGACTATCCTCTCTCGAAGAGTCAATCCCACAACCAAGGCGGTCAACATACCCCCGGCTGTCGAAGTCGACTCCACTGCCTCTAACTGTAGTCGCTCAAACTCCCGAAGAAGGACATCTTGCCCAATGAATAAGCAAGACAGCTGGCCATAACTCCTCCGACTAAGGGCATCGGCCACCACATTAGCTTTCCCGGGATGGTATCTAATGGTGCAGTCGTAGTCCTTGACATGCTCCAACCATTTACGTTGGCGCATATTCAGCTCCTTCTGAGTGAAGATGAACTTTAGGCTCTTATGGTCGGTAAATATCTTACACTTGCCTCAATAGAGGTAGTGCCGCCAAATCTTCAAGGCGTGGACGACAGCAGCTACCTCAAGATCATGAGTGGGGTAGTTCTGCTCATGAGGCTTCAGCTGCCTCGATGCATAGGCTACAACTCTCCCTTGCTGCGTGAGGACACAACCCAAACCCATCTTCGAAGCATCACTATAGATCGTGAACTCCAAAGTAGGGTCGGGTATGGACAAGACGGGCGTGGTATTGAGTATTCTCTTCAACTCCTGAAAACTCTCCTCGCACTTCTAACTCCAATCAAACCTCACGACCTTCGTCATAAGGTTGGTTAGTGGCTGGGCTATCTTCAAGAAGCCCTCAATAAACCTCCAGTAGTATCTTGCTAACCCCAGGAAACTACGAACATCAGCGGCACTTCTTGGTGTATCCCACTTGCTCACTGCCTCGATCTTGCTGGGATCCACCTCAATGCCTCGAGCTGTCACAATGTGGCCAAGGAATGCCACAGAATCCAGCTAAAATTCGCACTTCGAGAACTTAGCATACTGATGAGACAAAGATGTCACCCGGGCTCCCTCGACTCGGACAGCCACCGTACCTGCAAGAACCTAAAGTCCGGGACTCCGGGACGAGTGCCCGGCTTTGGCCTCCGATGCTTAAGTCAATACTGGATTCATACGACAATGCATAGAGAGAGAGTAGGGAGAGAGTGTAGAGAGAGAGTGTAGTAATGGAATGGGAGAGAATGTAGGAAATGAGTACCTTCTCCCCCTTTTTATATGGGGATTGTACCTTATAGTCCAAGTTGGGCTCGGCCCATATTATCATATCAAGTGTCTTAGCCCATGTATAGGCGTATTCTTCAATATATATCCATAAAACCGGTTGGGTACGACATGCTATATCAGATACTACCTCTCGAGCCGGCAGTACTAGCCGTGGATATATCATCTAGTCCCTCCCACACTGGTCGAGTGAGCATAACTGGATCCAAGAGTGAAAAATAGAGCAACTCGCCACTGAAGTCAACACTGAACACCGAATGGTCGTAGAGGTTGAAAGTTAAGTGACCCGCCACTGGGGTCAAACATCGGAAGCCGGATGATCAATGAGATTGAAATCTAAGTTACCCGCCTCTGGAGTCGAAACCCAAAAGACCTGCATCCGAGATCGAGAACTGAAACTGGGGTCGATTGCAAAAATATTTGTCTCTGAGATTGAGCACTGAAAACTGAAAGACCAGTGTTTGAGTTTGGGTACTGAATAACTCGATGCTACCTCCAGGTCGAGAACCAAATTGAGGTCGAAAATCCTAAACCTTTAATCGAATGACAGTTGAGGTTGATAACCAAGAACCAATAGACCACTGAGGCCGAAAATCGAGAATTGAGAGACCACTGAGGTCGGAAACTGAAAATCGAGTAATCGTCGATGAGGTTGAAAGCCGACATTCAAGAGACCGCTGAGGTCAAAAACTGAAAACTGAGTAGTCACCGTTGAAGTCAAAAGTTGAGAATCGAGAGACCGCTGAGGTCGAAAGCCCCGAATCGAGAATCGAGAGACCGTTGAGATCGAAAGCCGAGAACTGAGAGTCGAAAGACCGTTGAGGTCGAAAACCGAGAACTGAGAGTCGAGAGACTGTTGAGGTCGAAAGCTGAGAACCGAGTGTCGAGAGACCGTTGAGGTCGAAAGCCGAGAACCGAGTAATCGAGAGACTGCTGAGGTCGAAAGCCCCGAATCAAGAATCGAGAGACCATTGAGGTCGAAAGCCGAAAACTGAGTAATCGAGAGACCTCTAAGGTCGAAAGGCCCGAATCGAGAATCGAGGGACCGTTGAGGTCGATAACCAAGAACTGAGTAATCGAGAGACCACTGAGGTCGAAAGTCCCGAATCGAGAATCGAGAGACCGTTGAGTTCGAAAACCGAGTAATCGGGAGACCGCTGAGGTCGAAAGCCCTGAATCGAGAATCCAGAGACCGTTGAGGTCGAAAGCCAAAAACCAGTAATCGAGAGACCGCTGAGGTCGAAAGCCCCGAATCGAGAATCGAGAGACCGTTGAGGTCGCAAGCTAAAAACCGAGTAATCGGGAGACTATTGAGGTCGAAAATTGACTGATCTGCTGCTGAGGTCAAACATCGAATGACCCTGAGGTTGGAGGCCACAAATTGAATGACCACTGATGTCGAAGTCGAGTGATCCACGTTAAAGTCAAAAACCGAGACTGAAGTCGAAAACCATATGGTCGATTTCCAAGAGTCCTGAATTTGAAAATTTGAACTTACACATTCTGCTTTTTCGAATAATAATAAACCTTTCCGGTTACCTCATCTTGTGGCCCCCTAGTTCAAGATTTGAAATTCAAGCCTGTTGTGTATCATCTCGAAGACTGAAAGTCCTGACTCCTCTCTCACGCTGAAAAATCGCATTTGACAAAACACAGTCAAATAAAACCTTCAACTTGCTCGAGCAATAATAAATACACTCAACCTGCAACCGAGGCCGAAAAATAAATTTGATAATACATCATCAAGTGAAAAGCAATCAACCTGCTCGAGCAATAAGGAGTATCCTTGACCTGCCACTGAGGTTGAAAAATAAATTCGACAAACCAGAATGACCAACCAACAACCTGCTCGAGCAGTAATGAATAATCAAGTGAACATACTCAGGCACTAATTAACATACTCGACCTACCATCGGGTCAAAAATTAATTCAACAAACCAGAATCAACAACAACTTGCTTGATCAGTAATGAACAAACTCGACCTGCTTCTGAGGTCGAATAGGAATTTCGATAAAATCAAGCTCGAATTCAAAAAATCAGCCTTCTCATGCAATAATGGAAATACTCGACCTTCTACCGAGGTCGAAAAGGAATTTCGACAAAATTAAATTCAAATTAAAATCATCGACCTGCTCAAGTAATAATGAATATACTCGACCTTCCACTGAGGTCGAAATACAATTTCAACAAAATCAAGTTCAAATTCGAATAATCGACCTGCTCAAGCAATAATGAATATACTCGACCTTCCACCGAGGTCGAAATACAATTTCGACAAAATCGGGCTCAAATTCAAATCATCAACCTGCTCAAGCAATAATGAATATACTCGTCTTCTCCCCAACCCTACTTACGAGCTGGTCAAAGTTGAGCAATGATTTTAGCAGCTTCATAGCTGATAAACGAAAGTTTTTCAACTCGTCTTCTCCCAAACCCTTCTTGCGAGTTGGTCGAAGTTGAGCAACGATTTTAGCAGCTTCATAGCTTATAAACGAAAGTTTTCAACTCATCTTCTCCCCAACCCTGCGTGCGAGCGGGTCAACGTCGAGCACTGACGTTCGTTCTATCGATATGACTAGTATTGGAACTATAGTTAGACTTGTTCGTGGTTAGCCTTGAGCTGAATTTTTTCGAGAGTCCATTCAAAATATGCAACTTCACCGTTGTCAATATACTGACTTCATAGAATTCAAAATATGCAACTTCACCGTTGTCAATATATTGACTTCATAGTTGTAGGCTTCGTAGCCTTCTCGAGAATCTACTTGAGAAACATATCGTAGTTATTTATAGGTCGACTTCATAGTCGTAGGGTTCATAGCCTTGTCGAGAATCCACTCGAGTTACAACTTCTTAGTTGTTTAAATCGACTTCGTAGTCGTAGGCTTCGTAGCCTATTCGAGAATCCACTCGAGTTACAACTTCGTAGTTGTTTGAATTGACTTTGTAGTAGTAGGCTTCGTAGTCTATTCGAGATTCCACTCGAGTTACAACTTCGTAGTTGTTTAAATCGAATTCATAGTCATTGGCTTCGTACCCTGTTCGAGATTCCACTCGAGTTACAACTTCGTAGTTGTTTAAATCGACTTCGTAGTCGTAGGCTTCGTAGCCTATTCGACAATCCACTCGAGTTACAACTTCGTAGTTGTTTGAATCGACTTTGTAGTTGTAGTCTTCGTAGTCGTATAGGTTTCGTAGCCTATTCGAGATTCCACTCGAGTTACAACTTCATAGTTGTTTAAATCGACTTCGTAGTCGTAGGTTTCGTAGCCTATTCGAGATTCCACTCGAGTTACAACTTCGTAGTTGTTTAAATCGACTTCATAGTCGTAGGCTTCGTAGCATATTCGAGAATCCACTCGAGTTACAACTTCGTAGTTGTTTAAATCGACTTCGGAGTCGTAGGCTTCATAACCTATTCGAGAATCCACTCGAGTTACAACTTCGTAGTTGTTTAAATTGACCTTCCCCCGAGGTCGAAAGACAATTTCGATAAAATCAAGCAAGGATCAACATCAACCTGCTCGAGCGCATACCCACCATCGGAGGGGTGGTCGACACATATGACCATCTTCGCTCGATGGGCTTTTTCTCGAACGCATGCCCACCCTCGGAGGGGTGGTCGACATATACGACCATCTTCGCTCGATGGGTTTTTCTTTGAATGCATGCCCACCCTCGGAGGGGTGGTCAACACATACGACCATCTTCGCTCGATGGGTTTTTCTTCGAACGCATGCCCACCCTCGGAGGAGTGGCCGACACATACGACCATCCAGCCCGGAGGCCTTAGTCATGGTGGATTTTTTGTGTTCGACCACCCAGCCCGGAGGCCTTAACCGTGGTGGACTTTTTGTCTTCGACCACCCAGCCTGGAGGCCTTAACCGTGGTGGACCACCCAGCCCGGAGGCCTTAGTCATGGTGGATTTGTCTGCTTCAACCACCCAGCCCGGAGGCCTTAATCATGGTGGACCACCTAGCCCGGAGGCCTTAGTCATGGTGGGTTTTTCGTCTTCGACCACCCAGCCCGGAGGCCTTAATCGTGGTGGACCACCCAGCCCGGAGGCCTTAGTCGTGGTGGGTTTTTTCTTCCTCGGTCAGCTCAAGCACTTCAACCTGCCACAGGTCGAAGAGAAATACGTCGAGCACCACAAGATATGATAACGATCGATCATTCTAATTAGCATCACCAAGAATATAGTTACACGAGCAAGATAATCGTAAAAATATCTAACGTATCACAAAATCATCCAACACATTTTCAACCCCATTTTCTTGTATAGACGATGACTTCTGCTCGATTATTCCCTGCTATCCATTCCTTATTTCAACAGAGCGGTCCATGCTGTATCTAAGTATCAGTACATCTGTTCATGTGTTTTCCTCAGCAAATATCAAGCAAAGTTCATGAGTCATAGTCTATCCATATCATCCAATTTACGGTTCCAATATCAATAACGGCAATAGATGCATCAAAACAATCAAACATATCCACGTGTTACTGTATCACACCACAATCCACAATTAAGCCCTTTTTCTCGATAATAAAGGACATAAATATCCACTCAAATGTATGGTAGACCAGAATTTCACAAAACCAAGATTCAATAAATAATTCGACAAAGCGTACTCCGCAGATACCTACAAGCATCAAACGAATGTAGCAAGTGAAAATTCAAATGAGTTCATCCTAATACCCAATTCCTTAGTCGCAGAGACTTGAGACTGGCAAGCCCGAAGGCCTTCGTCATGCCAGATTTTTGTTCAAGGTTTCGCATATGCCATTTTTCTGCATTTTGTCAATTATCCGCACAATGATTCGAAACATTTCCATGTAAGTCGTGATCCCAACAACGTTTCTCCACTATATATTCGAATAATGGGCATTTCTCCAATAAAGAGTGTAAGAAATCATGCGTTGATAAATCATGTCGACCGAAACAGATGTCGAGAGTTGAGATTAATTGTGTACCTTGAAGTCGAGAATACCACTCGGAATTATCCTACCTCATTCGAAGAGACTTGATCTCTGTCTTCGAGATTGCCACCGGTGATCACCACCATCAAAACTTAACCTCCATTGTCATCTCACATTGATAGATTCGTGCTCGCTCATTTTGTCCTCGACATTCGAATATTTGTCTCAATAATGGGTTCCTCGGCAAGGATTCAAAGAGATATCGTTATCAACATTATATTCACGTCATCCATCTTATCATTTTTCATACGAGAAAAATAAGAGATCAAATACGAACATTATCTTCTCGATTCAAGGCATGTTCTAGCAATGACACGCTCAGAAAATTATGGGCAATTTAATTTAGACAAAATTCTACATGTGCTCATGAAAATCCAAATGAGAGACTCCGGATATATCAAAATAACCAATCATATATAAATTTAATTCATGTCTTCAAGCCTATCGGTGCGAGAGTGATAAACATACCCAACGCACGTCAAGCACGATCGCAAAATATTCTCAGTTCAAAGTTATGACCCGCATTTATCCTCAAATAAACAATTTTTCCATGAATAAATCGATTGACTCCACAAATAAATCAAATACTTGCGCGAGTAAATCGGATAATACCTCCACAAACAAATCACGTATCGTCTCCACGGATATAGCAAGTATCTCCATGAATAAGACAATTAATCTCCATGAATAAATCGAATATCTCACAAGGATAATTCAATTAAGTTGTATGTATACATCACATAATATGATTGCAAATCAATCAAACCATCGTGCGATTGAATCCAATTGATCACGAATAAATCAAATGATGTGTTTGCAAATATACCGAATTATTCCCGCAAGTAGGTCAAATATCTCCTCATGAATAAAGTAAGTGATATTCATTAATAAATCATATATTCTCTAATTCTCACTCATTTAAAAATCCTCAACCTCAAATTTTAAATTCATTCCATACCTCATTCATGAGAATCATGTCCAAAATTACCTTCTTGTTCGCTTTTTATCATCCCGAATTCATTTTTAGCACACAATGAAGCTGTTAGATCAAGTTTATAGCATTCCGGGTCGCTGCTGGGCCGGATTCGGGTCTTGGGCCGCGGAAAATGGTGCTGGGAGAACTAGGCCGCTCACGGGCCATAATTGGGCT